TAAAATAAGACCAAAAACTCGAACCCTTTCGAATAGTTGACTATTCTTCTTCAGGAGAACAAAGGGTTATTTATAGTGATGCTTGTTCCAGTTTATTGAGAAGAACTATACCTTTATCCTTTTTATGAGTGTTGCTCAGAGTATTGATCTCTAACAATGCTACCAATTGTTTAACGTAAGTTGAAAGATGCAATGATTTACATACTACTAATAAATTTATTAGTTTGGCAAAGTGTCTCTCACTTGATCTAAGCAATGAGCTTCCTTTAGAGAAATAGCTTAATGTGTACCTAATAGTAATATCATTAGTCACTATTATATTTAGTATTTTTATGATACATAATCAGTATCAGGAAATAATATTTATTTTAATGTAAGTATAATGACATATATTTCCAGATTTATTTGTTCAGTATTTTACTCTTACAGCTTTGTCAGGCTTAATCAATAACCTACAAGTTCCATAATCCACTTGAAAACTAAATTGAAATACCATCATTAGTTAATCAAACATTAATGCACATGTCCTAAAGGTTGAGGTTGTATTAACGATAATATTAAACATTCTTGAATATACATCGTACAAGCCAGTTGGAAACAACAGTGGTAAACAGATGATTAAGTATAGAAATATATACATATATTTATATATTAATCATTGTGAAACTGCACTGAGACTTCATAAGAATTCAAATATATTAAATAAAATCTTAAAAATATAATCAACATCTTTAAAGTAGAGGCCAACCTTTATATTTGTTTATTTTAGGTATATTTGTTGTTTACTAAAATGGATTTTTTAATCTTTTGATCTAAAAAGTTATGATATTTAGATAAAATCTTAACATCCAATAAGATGTTATCTGCTTGTTATATTCTATGCGCTTTAACATGAAGTTCCAAGGTTCACCATGGTGTCTTTCCTGTCTATTTGATGGGATTTTACTCCAAGTCTTTGGATGACGAAGATCAACATGTATGATGATTCCTTCATATCCCCATTTTCCCTGCATCCCATTGTTCACTTTGCTTTGCCAACATGAAATGTGTTTATCAGTTCTGGGCTCTCTTTTTGGGCTGGTCTTGGCTCCCTACATTTTTTGTCAATTAGTTCAGGCCTTTGCCAGACTTCTTCATTCGACCACTATATGGATGACTGACTCCTTAAAGCTCCTTATCTTTCATCTTCTTCCATCAACATGCAGTTTCTCCTTAGGGAAACTGCTTGGGTGGGTTGACTGATTCAGTTAGAGAAATCTATTCTCACACTGACTCAATACTTTGTTCATCTTGGAGTATTCTTCAGTTCCCGCTCGGTCAGTCCTAGCCTTTTCCCCTTTCATTTTTCCAATTTCATCATGTATTTTGCTCTCCTGTTATTTCTCTTTTGTTTCATTCCTTTTATCTCCATCATCCACTTCGATTTACACCCTTACAGGATCGGAATTTTAATGTTTTCCTACATGCCCTTTCCCTCCCTCCATTGATGTCTCTTGCATCCTTTACCACACAGCTTATGTTCTTCTTTATCTTATTTGTACCTTTCTCTCTAAAACTTCTACTGCACATGAAAGTCATGTTGTCTTCACTCATATTTCTCTTCCTTCAATTTCTCATCTATATTCCCATGCTGATCCTGACCATCTCCTGTATCCAGTCAGGGCTCTACAGTGTTATGTGGCTTGCATGGATCCCTTCCATTGTTCCTGTTCCTGATTGTCTATACAGTGGAATCTTTCATCTTCCTGTGACCTTTCTCCTATTACCCTGACTGGCTGGTTTTGACAGCTTATACATATAGCCTATTCCTTTTTGTCTCTTGATTCTTGTTGCGTTTTCTATGTCTCCTCACATCAGATTAGCCACCTCATAATGTCTTTGGCTACTTGTCTTCATCATCCTTTGGAGGAGGTTGTCGTGGCTGGCATGTGGACCATTCCAAATACTTTTATGTCAAATTATCTCCATTATCTGGCAGTTTCATTCTCAGTCTGATATTGGTATTGCCATCCTTCACTAATCGGTCCATTTGTGATTGGATATGTGTCTTTTCCTTATATTTTCCTCTTACACTTCTTTTGGGATCCCGCTCTGTTGTGAGTCATGCCTGTCCAGGTATACTTATTCTTAAATCTGCACTGTGTGACCATTAACCCTGTAATTATGATGTGTTTCAGATTGAAGCACATTACGTAACTCTCATTAAATTTCATTTGAGTAATAAAAATAGTAGATAAAATTGTTTAAAACTTGAGAAGAACTTTAATAAAAGTATGAAGTTTGAGAAAAATAAATATTTAATTTTGAATTCTGAAACAGAAGTATTTATATATACCATTTAACTGTTCTTTAAATACTCTTAAAATATGTTCTTTGGGTCATATGCGCAATTTCACATCTTTACATTTTCACAATGTATTTTTGATGTTTTATTTTCATTTCCTGCGGATGATAGAATGGTATGAACAACAGAGATACCTTAGCCTCCAGCAGAATCTCTTTATACATGCTTGGTAATCTAAGCCTTGAAGAGTGAGGGGAAGCTTTGGTTATTTTATAAAAATTATTAAACCTTTCAAATATGAATTTTAAAACAAATAATTCATAATTAACTAAAATATAAAAGTAAAACCTAAATAAAAATTAACTGTCTCTAACTATAACATATTTAGGTAAGAAACAACTGAAATGCTATCGTGAACAAAGCAGCCAACAATAGTATAAGCAGTTACACCTATCCGAGGATAACAACTAGACACCAATGTTGAAATAACTGTTGTTAGGTTATAGTGTGAAATGAGCTCTTTCTAATGACTTTAAACACATACATGTTGAACTTACTTGTAACTTCTAAAGCTCAATGTTAACTATAGAAGGTGGAAGTGGCATCAGTTAGGGGTGTACAAAATTTATTCCTTGTTTCAACTACATTCAGCCAAAGAACTTTGAAACATACATGTCTAAAGGGCAAGTAAATTACATTTTCATCTAGACTTAAATGTATGTGCCAACACCTTTATGCTTCAAGCTATGATTCGTCAAATTTTGACATTGTTTATAGCTCGTGCTTCATGTGACACAAAACAAAGAAATATCATTATTGCTTTCAATGTTTCTTTAGAAACTGAGGAATGAAATTATGATAATATAAAACTTTGAACTATAATGTATTTGATAATAATAATTTCATTAAAATACATTGATTGTAAAGTGATTTAAAAAGTGTGTCATTATTAAAGGTTTAAAGCCATTAACACTTGCTGTTAAGATTGGGTGTTCTGCAAGACCGCTTGTAGGTTCATCCTCCTGGACTGTCTACTCATGCACTAACATGAGTAAATATGAAACGGATTGCTGCCCATCCTTGCCATTCCCTTGATTATATAAATCAGTTATGGTGTGCTCTTCAAAATAGGGTTTTGCAGTCACCCATTGCACTTTCTTCAGTGCTGCATTCCTCTGGACTTTTCAACACATTCCATGTACCTTCTTCTAGTGGAGTACAGGAGCACTAACCACTTACCAACTCTTAACTGTTGGGGTGATGGACCATGGAGGCTTCCTCCTGCATGTACTCAATTTCACTCAGTTGAGAGTAGAGCAGTGGTGTTCTGCCAGTGTAGGTGGCGTGACTATCCTCCTACTGTGGATCTGATGTGTGATTACAGATGCCATATGGTGTGGACTAGATTTTTCTGTCACATTCCAATATGTCGTTCACCTTTCTGACTGTTAAACCTCCTTTCTACCTGGATGTCAGTTCCTTGGTGACTGGTGTTGGTTGAAGCTGGACCAGTCAACTTAAGTCCTCGCATGTGAGTAGGCTGGGACCTTCCTCCTACTACAGACTGGATGATACATTACCAAAACCACGTGGATTTGGACTGGAGTTAACCCTCCATGTTGCATTTCAATCTTCCTGCCATTGTCTGTAAGTTGGTTCGTTGGAGGTACAGGTGTCGGATGTGTTGGATATGCACTCATGATGAGTTGGATTCTCAGGATGAAGTACTTCTTCCCTTCTGGTTTCTGAATCTGTGGTGAATGATAGAGGACCCACCTCCTACTGTGGGCTGACTTATACAATCTTGGTGCCATTGGTTTTGGACAGGAGTTCACCTCTCACTTACTGTCTGACATGCCATAGCCAGTCTACAACAAAGGTGCTTTTTTCTATTTGGATATGTCTCTTTTTTGACCCATTTCTTTAAAGATTCATTCATCAAGAGCGAAGAGTATACCTGGTTCAGATGCAGTGCAGTCTCTCATGAGTGTGTTTCCACTAAATTGAGATGGCACATTCTTTGAGTACTCTTCTAGATACCTTTTACACCAGTCTTTTCACCTGGTCAATGTGGAATTCTAGTTATTTTATGAAAGGAGGTAAGATATCTTTATGGTAGTTAATATTTTCCTACACTGAAAATGTATCTCTGAAAGATATTTACTCTTCTCTCACATTTCCCACCTGTCCTTCCCACTTCCAGCATGTTCTTGCATGCTTAATCTTGAAAGGAAGATTGGGTTCTACTGCATAGAGGCAGTCAGCTGTGCTATGAGGGTATGTTGCACTCCTATTGGTGGAGGGTTGTCACATGGTTATTATCTATCAGAAATATATTTTTTTCCTATATACATACAAACACACACACACACACACTAGAGCACCTACTCAAGTCACTTGATAAAAAATGTTCTTTCAATGACATCAATCATATTGTCCATATTTGACAGCAATATGTCTCTTACTGGACTTACAATTAAGGATTTAAGGGAGGTGCCTAATTTTTATACTTTTAATATGTAAGCTTGATGTTCCAGTTAATCTCTTCAGTTTTTTGGTAATGTATACGGTATCACTGTAGTTGTGAAATACTGAACAAATAAGGTACATTTGGAGATAGAGGTTGATTTTTTTATTTACACTAATAGGTATGTTCTAGTAATAAGTTCTAGTTTAGGTCCAAAAGTTAAGAAAAATATCATTTCTTTTTGTCAAAAATTCACTAGATTTAGTAAAGTATTCTTATGGAAATTTGTAGGGAGAAACCCATTAAAATGTTTTAATCATATTTTTAACTTATTTTATGTTACATTGCATTTTCTTGTATAACAGTTTAGGATTACAAAAGTAACTTAATCTTAAATTATTTTACCTAACAATATTTATCATATTAAATGAAAGATAGTTTGAAAATGGCTTTCAAAAAACCCAAAACAAGCTGAATGTAATTGTTCAATGAGCATAATGATTAATTGTTTGACAAGTTTCACTAATTGCCCAGATCTACAGTTTAGTTTGATAAGATGCATAAGAAACAATCATTGGTACAATTTAATTGGTTACAACACATCAGAAACAATATTTGATGTAGTTTAGTTTGTCACAACACATATGGAACAGTCTTTGGTGCAGTTTAATTTATTACAACACATATGGTACAGGCTTTGGTGCAGTTTAATTTATTACAACACACCAGAAACAATCTCTGGTGTAGTTTAGTTTGTGAGAACACATATGGAACAGTCTTTGGTACAATTTAATTGGTTACAACACATCAGAAACAATCTCTGGTGTAGTTTAGTTTGTGACAACACATATGGAACAGTCTTTGGTACAGTTTAATTGGTTACAACACATCAGAAACAATTTTTGGTGTAGTTTAGTTTGTGACAACACATATGAAACAGTCTTTGGTGCAGTTTAATTGGTTACAACACATCAGAAACAATCACTGGTGTAGTTTAGTTTGTGACAACACACATGGAACAGTCTTTGTTGTGAGTTTAATTGGTT